CTCTTCAAGGGCAGCCCCATGTAGAGCACATTACAGTATTCCAGCCTAGAGATCACAAGGGCTCGAGTGACTGTTGTGAACAAGAGTCTTACAGTATTTCTCCCAGGGCTTCTTATACTACCAATGAAAATGAACTCTAATGGACCTCCCTTTAAATTTTCTGTTATTACCATCATTTCCCGAGTTTGTGTGCAGTGTTGGTTGATTGCAAAACTGAAGCAATAAAGCCTTTGAACTTGAGGAGAACTTCATACTGAATCAAGTTCTCAACCCATAAGAGTTTAATAAATGCCCCTGGTTCACCTGTTGCTTTCTCTGACCACCTTGGTTTTAGTTGAGTGATCTGAAGGAGATGTACCTGCATTTGCTTGATTGAAAGCATCTTTCTTTGTGGCATTATACTCCATTAAATATTCAAATCACATTGATAGATGTTTTTATGTTCAAGCAAGCACCTGTCATTCAGACCTCCAAGCTGAACCCATGAAATATGAAATAAACTATAGTAGAATACTTCTGTGATTGAGTCCTTGATTTATTCATACCTGAGAAGGGCAAAATCACCTTCACATCTTAAATTGCTTTGCCCATGATTGAGAAACAGTGAGTATGTATGGGTGTGGCTATCAACCCACAAACTTCCTTCTTTTCTGAGTGTAACCTGATCTTGCAAAATGACAATGCTCCTTGTGAATGTTAGAGTCCTTTATGCATTAGACCTATAAAATGGGAACCTTTTATTGTCCATGGTCCATTTGTCCATTTTATTGAATGGTTATCCTCAAGGAGAATGTTACATTTGTGTATGTGGGAGGGGGGGTTGTTGATTATAAAGAGTAATTTAAAATTACAGTTGATATTATTCCACATGTAACTTCTAAGTTTCATAAGCAGCTTGTGGGAAGGCATTCTTTCTTACTATAATTCAGCCAAATAATGGCAGTAATCTCCCTTTATGTATATAGTCATGGTAGGAAAGCTGAAGCATAAATTCTTTATTTCATAACAATTTGTGAAATAATTGTCTATTGGTATAAGTTTTTTAAATTTAGAATCTGTATGTCATGAGTGCTGTGGAAATGATGCAATTTAAATAAACTCCTGACCCTTGATCTCTGCTATAAGTTGATTATTTGTTCTACATTACATTGAAAGGAATTCATTTTGGGAAGGGGAAGAGATAGGTATTGCATTTTGTTAGATCCCCAAACACTTACAATTCTTTTCCTAGCACAGCACTGAAACTATGTCTCTGATGTCTTGCCCTGTGGTGTTTTTTTTTTTAGAATAGCAATAGCAATAGCAGTTAGACTTATATACCACTTCATAGGGCTTTCAGCCCTCTCTAAGCGGTTTACAGAGTCAGCATATCGCCCCCAA